GAAATGTGAGCTCGCACACACATACAAAATTCCTTCTGCAATGCTCACTTCCAATCCACAGCCCGTGGCCAGCCAGGTTAGGCCCGGCTGAGTCACACTCAAGGCCAAGTACACGGGAGGTGTTAGTCAATGCTTTGGTATGAAAGGAAAAGGCATCCCTGTCGTTCTCCAAATGTAAAAGGTACCACACATGGTCCACCGAGCGTACCTTGCACAGCTATGCCAGCCATGAGGGATGCCCGTTGCCACCCAGAAAAGGCATCCCATGCCTTCAAGACAACTGCAGAGTCACACATTTTGGATGCTCCAGCTCTCCACCTACAGCCAGGTCAGACCTTTGGGGATAAAGTGGCGGAGTGAATGACAACACAAATTTCACCCTCCTAGTCCTGCCATTCAGGGCCTCTCTCCTCCCCGTCCCTGGGTCATGCCATAACTTGCATGTCCTAGAACAGCTCCGGGGCTATTTGGGAGGCTGAGGCAGGAGGATCCTTTGAGTCCAGGAGTTCGAGACCAGCCTGGGCAACATGGAGAAAGCCCGTCTCTTCAAAAAATACAAAAAATTGGCAGAGTATGATGCAGGACTCCAGACATTGGCACCGGCGGTTTCCTTGGCCAGGGAGGATATTTCCTTCCTTTAATAAAGCTTTTCTAACCTGTAATCCCAGCACTCTGGGAGGCCGAGGAGGGCGGATAACTTGAAGTCAGGAGTTCAAGACCAGTCAGGTCAGCATGATGAAACCCCATCTCTACTAAAAATACAAAAATTACCCGGGCATGGTGGCACGCACCTGCAGTCCCAGCTAACAGGAGGCTAAGGCAGGAGAATCACTTGAACCCAGAAAGTGAAGGTTGCAGTGAGCGGAGATTCCCCCCACTGCAGTCTAGCCTGGGTGACAGAGTGAGGCTCTGTCTCAAAAAAAAAAAGTGTCTCAAACAAGTGAGTGAAATATTAACTATCAGTCTCACATTTATTAAGATCTAGGCTAGTGGGCCGGGCGCGGTGGCTCATGCCTGTAATCCCAGCACTTTGGGAGGCCGAGGCAGGTGGATCATGAGGTCAAGAGATCGAGACCATCCTGGTCAACATGGTGAAACCCCGACTCTACTAAAAAGACAAAAAATTAGCTGGCCATGGTGGCGCGCGCCTGTAGTCCCAGCTACTGGGGAGGCTGAGGGAGAATTGCCTGAACCCAGGAGGCAGAGGTTGCAGTGAGCCGAGATCGTGCCATTGCACTCCAGCCTGGGTAACAAGAGCGAAAGTCCGTCTTAAAAAAAAAAAAAAAAAAAGATCTAGACTACTATTCAAGACTACAATACCGAGTGAGAGCAGTGGCGCATGCTTGTAGTCCTTGCTACTTGGGAGACTGAGGTGGGAGGATCACCTGAGCTCAGGAAATCAAGGCTGCAGAGAGCTGCAATTGCGCCACAGCACTCCAGCCTGGGTGACAAAGCAAAAGCCTGTCTCTAAGAACAAAACAAGACTCGGCCGGGCGCGGTGGCTCACACCTGTAATCCCAGCACTTTGGGAGGCCGAGGCAGGCAAATCACCTGAGGTCAGGAATTCGAGACCAACCTGACCAACATGGAAAAACCGTGTCGTTACTAAAAATGCAAAATTAGCTGGGCGTGGTGGTGCATGCCTGTAATCCCAGCTACTCAGGAGGTCAAGGCAGGAGAATCGCTTGAACCCAGGAGGCGAAGGTTGTGGTGAGCTGAGATTTTGCCATTGTACTCCAGCCTGGGCAACAAGAGCGAAACTTTGTCTCAAAAAAAGAAAAAAAGAACCAGAGAGGCATCCAGGTGGTCCAGAGAACAACGCCTGGAAGAGGCAGCTGAGGGGGTGAGGTGGGGGCATAGATGGAGGTCCCAGGTCGGACCACCAACTTCTGCTAGGTGGCTGCGGCAGGCGGCCTCCCCTCCTGGGCTGTAAGGGGATAGATGCAGAGGAGATGACCATGGTGGTCTCTTTTCAGGGACACCCTCATTCCTGGGGTCAAGATGGAACAGTAGGAAGAAGAGGGGCGGGTGCTAGGCTGACAAGAGGCCCCCGTGCTGGCTCTGCCCATCCTGGCTGCACTGATGAGCGGCATTATGGGAGAAGCTCCCAGAGTCTAGAGCCAGATGGGATCAGGGAAGCGCCCAGCATTAACCGTGGCCCTTTCCAATGGCCCTGAAGCCCAGCAGGGTGTGGCTCTGTGGGCTACCCAGCCTCATCCATCTGGAATGCACCAGGTTAGATCTGGCCCCAGGGCCTTTGCACTGGGTGTGCCGCTGCCCAGACCTGGGGCAGGCAGCTCCATGCATGGGCAGACCCTTGCTGTGGTGTAATTAATTTATCAGTGCATGTATACCCGGGGAGAGGTCTTCCAGGGCCCCAGCTGTGCCTCCTCACAGGTCGAATTCAGGCATTCACATCTTCTCCCCTGGATCCCATCTATCTGTTTTCTTTTTTTTTTTTCAAGGTGGAGTTTTGCTCTGTCGCCCAGGCTGCAGTACAGTCCCATGATCTAGGCTCCTCTGCCTCCCGGGTTCAAGCAATTCTCATGCCTCAGCCCCCTGCATAGCCAGGATTACAGGCGCCTGACACCACGCCCAGCTAATTTTCGTTTTTGTTTTCTGAGGTGGAGTTTTACTCTTGTTGTTCAGGCTGCATTAAAGTCCCATGATCTTCGCTCACTGCAACTTCCACCTCCTGGGTTCAAGCGATTCTCCTGCCTCAGCTTCCATTGTAGCTGGAATTACAGGTGCCTGCATGGATCGTCTGCAGGAGGCAGGGGAAGCTGAGAACATGTGGTGGCCAACCTGTCATCACTGGTGCCCTGCCCTGCTGGGACCCTAGGTTGTTTGGGTGCTGGGACAGCTGGGACATGGCGGGGTCCCATCTGCCCCTTTCTGGGCTTAGCAAAGTTGGGGATGCTGACCCCATCCTCCTAGGGAGGTTGCCAAAACCACATCTGGCTAATTCTTTTGTACTTTTAGTAGAGACAGGGTTTCACTATGTTGGCCAACCTGGTCTCGAACTCCTGACCTCAGGTGATCCACCTGCCTCAGCCTCCCAAAATGCTGAGATTACAGGCGTCAGCCACTGTGCCCAGCCTCATTTTTGTATTTTTTGTATTTTAGTAGAGATGGGATTTCACTATGTTGGGCAGGTTGATCAACTTATTTTTTTTTTTGAGACGGAGTTTCGATGTTGTTACCCAGGCTGGAGTGCAATGGCACGAACTCGGCTCACCGCAACTGCCGCCTCCTGGGTTCAGGCAATTCTCCTGCCTCAGCCTCCCAAGTAGCTGGGATTACAGACACGCGCCACCATGCCCAGCTAATTTTTTGTATTTTAATAGAGACGGGGTTTCATCTTGTTGACCAGGATGGTCTCGATCTCTTGACCTCGTGATCCACCTGCCTCAGCCTCCCAAAGTGCTGGGATTACAGGAGTGAGCCACCACGCCCGGCCCTCAACTCTTGACCTCAAGTGATCTGCCCACCTCAGCCTTCCCAAGTGCTGGGATTACAGGCGTGAGCCACCACACTGGCCTTTTTTTTTTTTTAAAGATGGGGTTTCACCATGTTGGTCAGGCTGGTCTTGAACTCCCGACCTTAGGTGATCCACGCCTTGGCCTCCAAAGTGCTTGGATTACAGGTGTGAGCCACCACGCCTGGCCTTTTTTCTTTTTTTAAACAGAGATAGAATCTCACTATGTTGCCCAAGTTGGGCTCAAGTGATCTTCCCACTTTGGCCTCCAAAGGGACTGAAATTAAAGGCCATGCTACTATACCCCGCCTCTTTAAAAAAAAAAAAAAAAAGATAAAAACAAACAAACAAAAAAAAGAGAGACCTCACCCTTGTGAGGCCTTCCAGCCCAGGCTGGAGTGCAGTGGTGTGCTCATAGTTCACTGAAGCCTCAAACTCCTGTGCTGAAGCCATTCTCCTACCATCTGTCTTTTCTGAAGTCAGCACATCCACTAGGTAAAGCAGTGACGCCACAGAGCCCACGTGGCAGCCTCAAGTCAGGGCCCATTGGGGTCCCAGATTCCAGGGTGGAGCTGGGCAGGAACACCCCCAGAATGCAGCTGAGTCAGAGCTCAGTGGAGTGTTGTAGAATGCAGGTGGATGTGGGGACAGGGGTGACCACACACAGGGCCAGTCCACTCCCCATGGGTTAGGCCCTCGCTTGTTTAAGGCTGGGCACAGTGGCTCCCACTTGTAATCCCAGCACGTTGGGAGGCCAAGGTGGGTGGATCACAAGATCAGGAGTTCGAGACCAGCCTGGTCAACATAGTGAAACCCCATCTCTTTTTATTTATTTATGTATTTTCTTCGAAATTCTTTTGGGGGCTTTCCAGCCAGAACTGGAAAGCCTGCTAGACAAATTCTAAAAGAGCTGTAACACTAACCCCGTCTCTTAAAAAAAAAAAAAAAAAAAGCCAGACCAACCATTGTTCGCTGTCTTGGTCCCTGGCACCAGCACGGTCACCCCGAAGTGTGTCCCATCCTGTTCAGTGTCCCACACATGAAGTCCCTGACTCTGGTGGCAGAGTGGCTGTTGGAGGTTTGGTTTGTGCCCCGGTGTTGGGCCAGAAACAGACGTTCCTATCCACTCTCTGTGCCAGAAACTTGCAGCTCCAGATAGCATCAGACTCAGAACATTCTAGAATATCCCAGAAAATGGGTGGGTCTCCAACTGCCCCTAATCTAGGGCCTGTTGCAGATTCATGGTCTATCCCAGACCAGTGGAGTGTTGTAGAATGCAGATGGATGTGGGGACAGGGGTGACCGCACACAGGGCCAGTCCACTCCCCGTGGGTTAGGTCCTCACTTGTTTAAGGCACCGCGTTGTAGATTCTTTGGGAGAGCCCCAGGAAAGCACAGCCTTTGGTCCAAGGTTAAAGTTGGGGAAACCGAGGCCAGAGAGGCCTGCATTCCCCTGGGACAGCCAGTGGGCACAGCTCAGGGTGGGCTCGGGAGCGGGTGCCTGTTTGAGCTGCCCGGTGACAAGCTGCATGTCCCTGGCCCCTGGCAGGAAATGGGCTGTTGAGGAAGAAGACGCTGGTCCCAGGGCCACCAGGTTCGAGCCACCCAGTCAAGGGCCAGGTGGTCACCGTGCATCTGCAGACGTCGCTGGAGAACGGCACGCGGGTGCAGGAGGAGCCGGAGCTGGTGTTCACCCTGGGTGACTGCGACGTCATCCAGGTGCGGGCTGGGGCGGGACAGGGCAGGGGCAAGGGGCGCACCTTGCTGGGCCTGGACCTGCCTGACCGCTGGCTGTCCCCACACCCCCCAGGCCCTGGATCTCAGTGTCCCACTCATGGATGTGGGGGAGACGGCCATGGTTACTGCTGACTCCAAGTACTGCTACGGCCCACAAGGCAGGTGAGAGCCGGCCACCCTTAGGGTCTCAGCAGGGGATGGGTAGAGTGGGTGTACCCCTCAGCCTACCCTGTCTACCTGCCCATTTTATAGAAGGAGAAACAGGCTGGGTGAGGTGGCTCACACCTGAAATCCCAGCACTTTGGGAAGTTGAGGTAGGATTGCTTGAGGCCCGCTTTTCCAGACTAGCCTAAGCAATATAGACCCCATCTCCATACAAAAAAATTTAAAAATTACTTGGGTGTAGTGCTAAAAATTAGCTGGGTGTGGTGCATGCCTGTAGTCCCAGCTACTGAGGAGGCTCAGGCAGGAGGATCACTTGAGCCCAGGATTTCAAGGCTGCAGTGAGCCAAGACTGTGCCACCGTACTCCAGCCTGGGCAAGACAGTGAGACCCTTCCCTTTAAAAAGAGGAAAGCAGAGGCTTAGGGAGGGGAACTCACTCATCAGGTCCCATCGCTCCAAGGCGGCAAGTCACTTACGCTGCACTTTACTGAGGAGGGAGTGACAGAGGGCAGAGGATGATAGATCTGGGACTTGAGCCAACCCAGCAGGTTTGGGGGTCACCAGGTCTGAGTGCAGCCCCTGCCTGCCCCCACCGCACTAGCAGGAGCCCATACATCCCCCTGCACGCGGCCCTGTGCCTGGAGGTGACCCTGAAGACAGCTGTGGATGGGCCTGACCTGGAGTTGCTAACGGGGCAGGAGCGCGTGGCCCTGGCCAACCGGAAGCGGGAGTGCGGCAACGCCCACTACCAGCGGGCAGACTTCGTCCTGGCCGCCAACTCCTACAATTGTGCCTGCTACATCACCCTACTTCTCTATGCCTCAGTTTCCCCTCTGCAAAATGAGTCTGTTGTGCCCAGAGAGGAGACTCCCCGCTCCTGCTAGTTCAGCCACATCCACTGTGCTGTGTGACTCCAGATGCATCACACGCTGTCTCTGGCACAGCCCCAGATGGCAGTAGAAGAAAGCTCAGGAGCCCGTGGACTGCTTGGTGGGAGGCTTTATTTCACTGTGGCAGGGAGGGAGCCTGGAGAAGGGGCGGCAGGCGGGGCAGGAGGGCTGGTACTCAGGCGGGGATGAGGCAGGGGAAGGGTTGCCCCCAGGCCTGTTGAGGAGAAACTGAGGCCGGCCCTGGCGGAGACCTAGCCCAGTGGGGTAAGGGGAGGGGGTAACTGGGTCTGAAGGAATGAGGGCCCCCTCCCTCTGGGCTTTCCTCCTGAGGGCCTTAGTCCCTCCTGCTGGCTGGACTGCACGACCCCCAATCCTTGCTCCCCCAACCCGGAGGAGGGGGCCAGACCAGGGAGGGCAGCGGACAGGGAGCCTGGGGGAGTTGGGGAGCGCAGGGCAGGGTCCACGGTGTGCAGAGGGAGTGCTGGCCACCTGGGCGGTCAGTTCCTGGCAGCAATGACCACGGAAAGCGCCACACCCCCCAAGGCAACAGCAGTCGCCCCAAACAGCCACTTCCATGGGATGGACTGTGGATAAAGAAGGGACAGAAGGGTGGAGGGAGGTCGAGACTGGACTCTGGGACCTCAGTTGCCGGCACAGCCCAAGCAGACCTCCCCACAAATCATTGCCTGACCATGCATTTCCCACTTCCTGGCAAACTCCTACTCGTGCAGCAAAACCCAAATCAATTGGCCCGACCTCCAGGACACTGCTTCTGGTGCCCTGGAAGAGCCTCCATTCCCCACCCCGAGCCCTCCAGCTTGAGTTCCACCTTCTACTCCACTCATGATCACATGGGACTGGGGCCTCTCAGTGTCCCCTGCAGCCCCCAAGATGGCCCAGTCTCCAAGGACATCCACGTGTACAGAATAAAATTCCTCTGCTAGGCCCCTACATGCAACCCCTGCCCATCTTCCTGTGCCCCAGCTTACCCAGGCACCCTTGCCAGGGCACTTGGCGGGCAGTCGGCTGGGGTTGCCCAGCATTTTCCGGTACAAGGCGGTCTCCGTGCTCCGCTGCGCCGCATGCTTCTTCACCAACTTCGAGAGCTCTGCGTGGATCGTCTGCAGGAGGCAGGGGAGGCAGAGAACATGCGGCGGCCAACCTGTCATCACTGGCGCTCTCCCCTTCTGGGACCCTAGGTCGTTTGGGTACTGGGACCACTGGACATAGGGGGTCGCATTTGCCCCTTTCTGGGCTTAGCAAAGTCGGGGATGCTGACCCCATCCCCCTAGGAAGCCAGTAGATGGGACAGAGCACAAGGAAGCCAGGAGACAAAAGGTTCTGGAAGGAAGGCTGAGGACACTGGCATGGGCCAGGCTGGCAGTGTGGCTGTCATAAGGGTCTTCACAAGCTGACCAGGGCCCTTCAGGTATCTACCCCCTGCCACCGCTCAGATGGGAACACAACAGAGAGCCACAGCAAGAAAGACCTGGGGCAGACCATGAGAGGGACTTCCCAGCAGAGCAAGTCTCCAGGGTGCCCCTGTCCTGCTCACCTTGTTGGAAGGTTCCAGCTTCAGGGCCGCCCTCAGGATGGGGATGGCCTCACTGTACTCCCCCTGCTGGGCCAGCACCTGTAGGGGAAGAGGGTGGCATCACTCTGGACCCATACCTGGGCCCCACTGTCCTTCAAGAAACCCAGCCCAGGAGGTTGCAGTGATCCAAGATGATGCCACTGCACTCCAGCCTGAGCAAAAGAGCGAGACTGCATCTCACAAACCAACCAACCAGCCTGGGCCAGGTGCAGTGGCTCATGCCTGTAATCCCAGCACTTTGGGAGCCCAAGGTGAGTGGATCACAATGTCAGGAGTTCGAGACCAGCCTGGCCAACATGGTGAAACCCCATCTCTACTAAAATATACAAAAAGTTAGCCGGGCATGGTGCTGGTATTACAGGTGTGAGCCAAAGCACCCAGCCTATTTACATTTTTATTTTAGAGACAGGGTCTCACCACATTCCCCAGAATGGTTTTGAACTTCTAGGCTCAAGCGATCCACCTGCCTCAGTCTCCCAAAGTGCTGAGATTATAGGTATGAGCCACTTTGCCCAGCCCTTGTTTTTATTATTAAAATTTCTGTTGCAATGGAATGCACTATGCTGCCAAGGCTGGTCTTGAATTCCTGGGCTCAAATGATCCTCCTGCCTTGGCCTCCCAAAGTGCTGAGATTGCAGGCATGAGCCACCACAGATGGCCCTGATGTTTCCAAAGCTTTGGCCACAGTGAATGGTTCAGGGCCGGCATGTGACCCAAGCCAGTCAATGAGATCCAGCCTGCACTATGCTGGTGCTGACAGGAGATGAGCTGCTGAAGGGAGACGATGGAGCTGAGTGCGGTGGCTCACGCCTGTAATCCCAGCACTTTGGGCTGGGAGGCTGAGGCAGGCAGATCACTTGAGGTCAGGAGTTCAAGACCAGCCTGGGCAACATGGTGAAACCCTGTCTCTACTAAAAATACAAAAATAAGCTGGATGTACTCGCCTGAACCCAGGAGGCAGAAATTGCAGTGAGCCGAGATCATGCCACTGCACTCCAGCCTGGGCAACAGAGCAAGATGCTGTCTCAAAAAGAAAAAAAGTTGGGGGGTAGAGGATGGTAGTCTAGAACTTTCCCGGGGGGAGGCAAAACATCATGGTCACCCTGAGAGAGGAGCTGGTCCAAGAGACACAGCCTCCTCACAATACCCAGCTATGCCTGAAGCCAGCTAATCCAAACGCGGCAGTTCCATGAGCCATCCATCCCTCCTTTCTGCCTGAATCTGTTTGAGTGGGTTTCTGTCACCTTTAGCCAGCAGGTCCAAACTTGTAAGAAGCTATACAAGCAGCCACTGCCGCTGCCCCTAGGAGGATGCTACCCCCAGGTGGAGCAAAGGCTTCAAAACCAGGACAGCATCTTCTCCCTCTTCATACCTCTCTGCAGAACTCTGCACACAACAGGTGATTCATAAACCCCAGCTGGAGGGAGCCCCGCCTCAGGCTTTTCGCAAACACAGGAGGTGAGCCAGTGTCTGTGCCTCAGTTTCCTTGGTGAACTGCTAAAAGGTACTGAAAGCCCCACTAGGGATGGGACTATGAGGATGAACAGAAAAGGGGGTGAGAACAAAGGTCAAGTCTGTGCAAGCCAGATTCACCCCTATGTTCTGCCAGGATGTTTTTTCTGTTCTTTTGTTTTTGACACAGAGCCTTGCTCTGATGCTGAGGCTGGAGCACAGTGGTGTGATCAAGGCTCACTGCAGCCTGGCCCTCTGGGGCTCAAGCCATCCTCAACCTCCAGAGCAGCTGGGACTACAGGTGCTTGCCCCCACACCCAGCTAATGTTTTCATTTTTTTTGGTGGAGACAGGGGTCTTCCTATGTTGCCTGGGCTTGTCACAAATATCTGGGCTCAAGCGATCCTCCTGCCTTGGCCTCCCAAAGTGCTGGGATCACAGGCATGAGCCATGAGGACTTTTACGGAGTACATACTATGTACCTGGCTATTTGCAAGGCTGGAGATTCAAGAGTGAGCAAGACAGACCAAATCCCCACCTTCAAGTGGGGGAGATGGACGAGAGGCATGTCACCTCCACGGGCTGCCTGTTAGGAACGTCTCAGGCAGTCGTCACTGCCTACGCAAAGGCCCTGAGGTGAAGAGTGCTTGGCCTAGACAGCAGAAAGGGAGAAGGGTGGGTGGGAGTAGAGAAGCAGAAAGTGAGGTGGGAGAGGCGACAGCAGGAGGAAGAAGACCAGAGGACTCAAGGCCCCAAGGGCTGGGACTAGGATTCTGCTTTTACTCTGAGGAAAAAATGGGACCATGTGAGGAGCTTTCAACACTGGGCCAAGCCAGGCACAGTGGCTCATGTGTACAATCCCAGCACATGGGGAGGCCGAGGCGGATCGATTACTTCAGGTCAGGAGTTCAAGACCAGCCTGGCCAACATGATAAAACCCCGTCTCAACTAAAAATACAAAAATTCTCATGCTGTAGGACTGGCCTTAAAACAGAGAGAGAGAGAGAGAGAGAAAAGAAGAGAAAAAAAAAAGAAAAAGAAAAAAACAAACAAAAATTAGCTGGGGGCATAGTGGCAAACGCCTATAGTCCCAGCTACTCGAGAGGCTGAGGCAGGAGAATTGCTTGAACCTGAGAAGCAGAGGCGGAGGTTGCAGTGAGCTGAGATCGCGCCACTGCACTCCAGCCAGGGAGACACAGCGAGACTCTCTTAAAAAACAAACAAACAAACAAAAATTGCACACTGGAGCAAAGGTGGGGAACCCAAGAGTCGAGGACTGAATCTAGCTTCGGCCAATAAATGCTATGCCCTAGACCACACTCCTGCACCCCTGTGCCTTCCTCAAATGCAGGGTTGGGGACCAGCCCCTCTGTCCTGGGCTGGGTGACCCATCCTGGCACCCTGGCATGGCCCACCTTGCCCTTGCGGAAGAGAGCCTTGATGTTGTCCGGCTGGTGCTCCAGTACGAGGCTGCAGGAGCGCAGGGCCGCACGGTAGTGGTCCAGCTTCAGCTGCGAGGCCGCCAGGTTGTTCAGACACTTCACCTTCAACTGCAGGAGCTGTGCCTCCTCCTCGAATGTCATGTCCACTGTTGGGAGACAGTGTCCGCCACGGTGGCTGTCACCACATGAACAGACCCCCGGACCCCCCTTGGAAGCTGCCTTCTACCCCAGGGGAATGCAGGCCTCTCTGGCCTCAGTTTCCCCAACTTTAACCCGAAACCAAGGTCAGTGCTTTCCTGGCGCTCTCCGAGGAATCTACAACATGGAGCCTTAAGCAAGCAAGGGCCTGACCCATGGGGTGTGTGGACTGGTCCTGTGTGCGGTCACCCCTGTCCCCACATCTACCTGCATTCTATAACACTCCACTGGACTGGGATAGAACACGAGTCAGCAACAGGCCCCTAGTTTAGGGTCAGTTGGGGATCTACCCATACTCGGGGATATTCTAGAATGTTC